GGGCTGGAGAGACACTAAAGCTTGAAGCTGGGATAAAATGACAGGACTTCTTTTGGTTGGTACTTAGACAAAGCTGAAACTTTGAGGAGAGATAAGATCTCAGACTTTTGTGGTGGCCTTAGAGAATTTTTACTCATAATGCAAGTGTTTGTTATTTCTCTTAGAAAACTTTGCTTCAGGAGTACAGAAAAACATGTGTGCTGGCGTGGCTGCAGTATTAACTCTCCTTGCAAAATTCCTCATATTACAAATCTGAAAGATTTTTAAAAGTCTTTAATATTTAAAGACTTAATATTTTAGTATGTAACAACAAAATTCTTATTTACTTAAAAAAGATTGATACCAAAACCATGTGTAGGAGATAGGTCGTTCTAAATTTGAGATTGCATGAGCATAAAATTTTCTATTTAATAATACTATCTGCTATATACTGTATGGAAAATAATATATAACTTGTATATATTTTATAAAGTATTGTACAATATTTGTATAATATATATGTATACACATTCTATAAACAGAATACTTGAGAGCCACTCACTGTAGAGTATATTAATTATAATATATTTTACATGTATAAGTAACATGAGATAATTAATTTTTACCCATTTTAAATACCATATAGGTAGTGGCCCCATAGGTACATTTTCTGTGGCTGTTATGAATGACGTGATATTCAGACATTCTTTAGAAACAAGCTTTGAATAAAGGTTGGTCAAGTATATCTCATTTAGAGCATTGGGATAAAACATCACGTCATTGTCCAGCCATGTCTACCTGTCAAATAAAATATATTTGTTTTTAAAGCAGCAAACGGAAAACCGCTCTCAGCACGTATGTGCCATTTTCCATTTCAGTCTGTAGAAAGGGGGACAGAGTTAAAATAATCTGAGGTGTGGTCAGTCTTGGCAATCCCGAAGGGCGGGTGCCCGTCAAATCCTCACATGTCGCGTGCTGTTCTTCAGCAGATGCCTGCAGTCAGTCATCTCCCATACGGTTTGAAAAAGGCTTGTCTCACTGGCAAGCAAACTGTTATTTAAGTACACAATCCACTCTACTACTGAAACAGTTTTGCGAAACTTATCCAAGTATTCTAACATGCTTAAAGATGGTATAAATATCATTTATGACCAGCAGTTTTCTTCAGACTATATGGAATGTCTTCCTGCTGCCTGATCTAAGTGTCCCAGTTTACATTATGGCCTTTACTGCCTCTGTTTGATGGAGTGATCAGTAAAAATTTAATGACACTATAAAATAATAAAAATGTCATTAATTTACCACGGATCTCGGATGCAGTGGTTGTAAAGTTACATTAATAAACAGAATATTTTTTACAACAAAAAGCATTGTTACGTGGGAACGTATAAATAACACACATAAATTTAAGAGCAATTTTACTGTTAGCACACACATTATTATGGAATAGCCAATAAGTGTATAAAACATAGTATATAAAATTTTATTAAAATATACTGTGCACATCAAAAATTCAGCTTTTATCTAAGTGCAAAGAAAAGCCATTATTGTGTGCTTACTGTTTCATTGCTGTTCTTTCCCCATATCACAATTTTACGTTCGTTGCCAGTAAGAGGAAGTTGATTTTTTTCCCTAGATGGAAACAAACCTCTGTTCTTTTAGTTACCCCAAATCCATTCTCTCTCTTCCCTGATGCAAAGGCAAAATGGATCAATCTTGCCATGGTAGGCAGGGCAAAGTTGCTAAATTAATGCAAAGTTGAAAATAATGCCAGAGGAGTTGAACGGTTTGTTCAGTGACTCTGGAACAGGGATAATAACGTGGCAGTCTATCTGTCATCAGTGAGGCTGCCCCGTCATTGGCTCCGATAATATGTGAAGATGACGGATGCCTTGGTCTTGGGGCTTGTAACATTTAACATTCATCAGCTCTCACTAAAGAGGGCTTTATCATTTAATATCTTTATTTAATATGCAGCATCTACTCATACATCATAATTTCAAAGCACTTAGCCAACAGTCCTACAGCAGAGCTGACTTTAATTTTTTTCAATAACTTTTATGTTGCCTGCATGTTTGTGACTGACATTGTGTAAGTGTCTGATCACATCGTTGCTTGTAAAATGCGCATTTTGCTGTCAACATGAAGACTGGGGAATTTTCTTGGGGGGTTGAGATTAAGTTAACACTGAGGTGTTTTGCTTGTACCTCCAAAATATCTTAACCTGGGAGCTATGTATGTTGTGAGAGCTGCTTCAGGTGCACAGAAAAATTTGGAGTTAAGAACTTGCCACCCACGGCCTATATTTGTTCCATATAGGGATATACCCATTGGCACTTAAGAGCTAGAAGTTGAAGCCTCTTAGAACTAAAGTATCCTTGAGCTTCTCTCTGTGCCCATGTCTACATCCTGTATTTACTAGGCTCATGTTCAACCTCACTAGTAAAATCGTTGCTTAGCTCAGCTGCCCAGAGCTAACTTGTAGGCATCAGGCCCTCTTATCTTATGGTTATGCGGCTGGCAAATAAATATTCTGAGCTATTCTTTGAAGAAAAGAAGGAAGTCTTCTGGGAGACTAGGTAGAAATTTATATGAAAGGGTATGGCTTTGCAGGGTCCAATTTTAATCTCAAGCACAGGTGCTTAATATTACCAAATATAAAATGCAGCCCACTTCCCAAAACAATTTTTTATCATTGATTTAGTTTCTGCCTATTTAACATGTGTTTCATAGAATATTCTTCCTTGACTTTTACTCTGGCAAAATATTGATATTTTATAAGGAAAGTATCTCTACAGGAGAATTTTTTTTCAATGAAGTCAGAAAAATTTATGACTTCAGAGACACCATGAATGTGTTGTTAAATGTTCTGAATGTTTTTTTTTGTTATGATTAAAAACAAGCTGGTACTACTGAATTACGAGTGCACTTCATTTTTTTATAAAAGAAAAGATATTATCATCCTGTAAGCTTTGTTGTCTTAGGATTTTACAAACCACGACATGTAATTTTCCCTCTTCTCTTTTCTTGTCAAAATATTGATATTCTTTCAGGAACTTTATTTATGTATTTATTTATTTATTTTATGGAGAATATTTTCCGGTAAAATCAAAGAGAATGACTAGAAAGATACTTGAAATATGCATATTGATAGGTAGCATGGTCTGTTGATTTTTAGAGAAAGTTGTTTTTCCCCCATGAAAAAACAGTTCAAGGTTGTTCTTCCAAGAAGATTGCAGGTGTCACATCAAAACTCCTTTTGCATGTAACACAAGGAAAGCATTCACATGCAAATATTTGAAATGCGAAACAATGTGATAAAACAAAGGTTGAATATTTTGCTTTCCCTGGTACTACTTATCTTTACTTTAATTCTTTTTCTTTACATCAGGACAACCAAAAGTGCTACTTCAGAAATAGAAAATGGCTGATTAAAAGCAGCTGTCCTCCCTCCGACAATGTGTGAAACTCCCGCATGGCTTGTGGTTGCTCTTTGTTGTGGCCTGCATCTGGGTTAATTTGTTCTTGTGCAGCACTGTTTCCCCATAAGAAGATATTGGGGAACCATACCTAATTTGCTTTTTATTTCCACTCTGTTTTTTATAAGTGTCGTATTTCAGAGGTTTCCCCACATAGTAACTAGTTGGTATTACCCTATTGGGGAAATCCATGATTATAATTTTGTTGCAAATCTTTCATAGAAATGGTGCTAGATTAAAGCAAGGTTTATGCTGTGTTTTCGTCCAACACAGATTTCAACATATTCCATGATGAAGGGGAACTGGAAGACTTCCTGCACAATTTAACTGATGGGAATTAATTATAGAAATATAATGATATTCAAAAATAATCATATTAGAAAGCACAACGTAGTGAGACTGTACAAATGAGACACAGCCTCCATCAAGTAATTGTATGTTTGCTCCTTAAGAATATTTCCAAGTTTCTAAACATCTTACAGAAAAGAACACTCAGAGTGTTTCAGTCTGATGCTGAACATGCTCAGTACAAAACTAGGTCATTGAACAATAGACTGAACAGCAATCAGCACTCTCCTCCTGCATAATGCATTCAGTATAACATGCAGAAACCATTCCCAGAGCTGCAAGCTGCTATTTCATGTCTGTAAATTCAAGCTGACATGACATTTAATATTGTCTCATAGTAATGAACAACAAGGTTTCATTCATTCAGGAGCACGACACAAAGCCAAGTTTGAGTCGGGAGAGTAGAGGCCAGAAGGGGACACGCACCGTGTGTCCGCAGACGAGAGCACCGTGTTAACGCTGGTCAGTGAGCCCTCTGCTACCGACCCAAAGTGCTGCGGAGGGTGAATTCACTGTGGTGGTTCAGACTCCTGCTTCCAGAAGAACCAGTTAACAAGTAAAACATCTTTGGGTTTCCCTCCAGGGGTGGCAGGAGTATTTAACTTTCTTCACTCCAATGGCTGGCTAGGAGTAATGTCCCCCTTTTCATGTCCCAGGAAGTTACAGTTGAAACTCCTAGGCAAAAGAATAGTGTTGATGCCATCGTCTAGTCTGCCTGCTTTGAAACATTTGTTTTTGAAATCCTCTTGCATAAAATCCCAATTTGTATTTTCCCAGGAATATCAGTGCAAATTATGATCTCTAAGTGGGAACATGCCTCTCCCATTATATAGCAGTATGTATATTTTAATGGGAACCATTCTTTCAGGTTTTGCACTTTTGGTTCAAACTACTCAGTTGCACTCCTTTTCAATGGCTGGAGCAAATCCAGCAGAGAGAAGATGCACAGCGCAGCGCTGGCAGGTTTCCCGTCGCAGGTTCCTTTCCCTACAGGTCCTGTGGTTCAGAACCTGTCAGCGCTGTCAGCGCTACAATAGGCTTCAGTGGAGTCTTCCTGAAAGATCCTCTGAGCCCAAGATGAACAGAAATGATGTTTGTAAATCCAAGTTTTGCCCATTAAGCAAAATAGAAACTGCAAGGGAAAAATGGCTGCTTGGGAAGCTAGAATAAGCCTCTAATTATTCTTCCCTCTAGGAAAGAACACGCTTTGAGAATTTGGGGCCCCAGTTAACAGGAAAGTCAAGTGAAGATGGAAAGCTGGGCCCAGGTGTCATCGATCTTACTCGGCCAGAAGATGCAGAGGGTGAGTGGCTTTTCCACAGCTCTTTTCTGCTACTCAGGGTGTTTCTGAAGGTGCTCAGAGTTAGATACAGGATCTTTATGGCCTTTCTTGGGAGACCAGGCACTTTTTTGGCAAAGTGGAGGAAATGTTCATCTTCATTACATACTACAGTTGAGACTTGGAGATGCAGCAAGGTCCTATATTACTGCACACAGCAATCCAAGTACCTCAAGGTGCCATTTTAGTCTTCAAATAAAAGGACCTCTCCATTCCAATGAACACCAGAATTCTGTTTCAATCACTTCACTGCATTCTTGTAAAAAAAAAAGAAAAGAAAAGAAAAGACATACAAAGGAGAATTTTTAAATCCCAAATCAAGTGATTCTCCAGGTACTATCAAACCATTTTGGGAACTAAACAACGGTTTGAGCAGATCTAGCATAAGATTACTAGTGGCTTGGGTAAGACCCAGCCTGGGTCTGGGCGCTAACCATTGTATCACTCAGCCTTTTGGAAAGTCTGAATGGAAAGACTAGCTTCTCTCTCTGCGTGTTTACCCACAGCTCTATCAATGCCTGCCCACTCCTCTTCCCTTTCTGTTTGTTTGCTTTAAAGGCACAAGCAGCAAATCAGCAGAAATTGCTCCCCAGAGGCGGGGTACAATTTATGGGTCCAGTCAGCACTTCAGTAGTGATGTTGCCTGTTATTTACTGTGTCATCACAGAGTAGGGACCTGTCTTCCCATTGTTCCTTTGGCAGAATCCCTCCCAACAGACAGGGAAGATTAATTTGTTCTCTTTAGAGTAACACAATACTTCACCTATGGTGGGTCCCAGCTAAAGTCCTTCTTTAGCTTCAGGGCAAGAATCTTTCTATTATCCTTTTTACTGGCAGTATTTCTTCCAGGACCTAATCCCTTGAAAACACATGAAGACATTTCATAGCAGCATCTGAAGCAGCATAGCTTCTAGTGATAGCTGAGGGCCATCCCAGGCAGTTTGGAAATCCCTGGCACAAGCACTAAGAGCTGGGGAGGGTATGAGATTTGGGAGCACTTCAGTGTTTCCAGGAGGCAGATTTCTCATACCAGGAGGAGAGACCGATGTTTAATAATAACTCCGGGGAGCAGATATTAAAACAAACCCTGATTGGTATATATGTATTTGCGCATGGGGGATGGGGTCCGGGGTAGAGAGGAAAAGAGGAAGAGGAAGAGGGAGGAAGGGATAAAGAGGACTCAAAAGTAGAAATATACTGTCTTCTATAAAAAATGAGCAACAAGAGTACATTGACAATCACATTTTTATAGGCACTTAGGAGTACAGGGTTTTCTCTAGTGAAGATTGAGGTACCTTGGCCTAGGGAACCAATATTCAGGTCTGGCCCATCTCAATTTGGTTGGAAGATTATACTCTACAGTAATTAAATCTTTGACCATACACAATGAAATAATATTTTCATCACTTTAAAGTACTCAGTTTGGTCATTTTTTTCAATAGATCAAGAGTTACAGAGTTGTATCTTTACCCTTGTTTTAACAGAGTTTTCTTATTCTGTTATATATCCTTCTTCACTTGGTTTTTTTTTTACCTGTATAATGGGTATAAATATAGTAAGTTACTTCTTAGCAATACTAATAATCTAGTTGATACTATGTTCTGGGTAAGTTAAAGATTGTGGCCACAGTTATTAACTATTATGAAAGGAAGAAATGAAAAAACTAATGATAGAAAAATGTTGTATAGAAATATCTTTGGAAATTCCACTTAATACCAGGTTGTTTGGATGCAAACCAATTTTCTGGTTATTTTTTTTGGGGGGGGGGAGGTGGGGGCAAAGATTTATCAAGCACTTATATGCCAGAGAATGGGCTAAGTTTTTTTTTTTAAACACACGTGTTTTAATTCAAACATCATACAACTCTGTAAAGAAGGCATTATTATTTGTCCATTTTAGAGATGAGAACATGAAGGCTGAGAGTAACGAAGTAACTTGCCCCAGGTCACACAGCTAACAAGCTCAGAGCTGAGAGCTGATCCCAGGCAGCCTGGCTCCGGTCCCTAAGCTCTTAAGTACTGTGCTGTACTGCACGCCCTGCACATACAGATAAATGTGTGATGCCTTCACTTTTTTGAACTAACTTCTTGTGACCTTCCTCAGAATGGCCCATTTCCTCTCCCCTAAATATAGCAAGTCATGCTATACACAGCTCTCCTGTTACTCTGTTGCACATGGCGGCAATGCCTGATGAGTGTAATTGTAGAAGGGCCATCGTGGCCCAGGAGCTTAAGGAACCTGTGCAAACCTCCCTTCAGCAGCTTGCCCAGAGTTGCCATTGAGACCTCATGTGCTTTTGGGGGACTGTGAGTTCATGAATGGAGTCAAGTTACGTGCTTTAATACCAAGAGCAGCGCAGTGCTTTGTGAGGACTGCGACTGCGGCTGCGGGGATGGGGAGCAGCCTTCTGCTGACTTCAGGGTATTTCCTGGCGCCTGTTCAAATGTGAGCTGATTGCAAATCCTGCTGGAGTTACAGTTCCTATTAAAGTCAGGGCGGATAACAGGTACTCATAATACTTGCTCCACTTTGCTCCTTTCCCTTTGCAGGAGGAGTAAGAAGGGACTAAAGTGAAAGAATAACTAAAAAAATTAATAAACTCCTTCTATCAGTTTGTCATCCTAAAAAGCAAGCAAGCAAGCAAACAAGCAAGCAGACACATACACAGTTATATCTGGAGTGCCTACTGTATCCCAGTCCCCAAACTAGACACTGGATAAACCAGAGGAAGCAAAACAGATATGCTCCTCACCTCTTGGAGTCGAAAATCTAGTGAAGGAAGGCAGACAATTTAAAGGCAAATGCATACATACAGGCAGGCAGACAAACCTAGTCATCATTGAGAAAAGTACGAAAAGGATCAAGACTCCTTGAGAGCTATGTAGGGAAGCTCAAATAGCAGGAGAGTTCGGGGGCTCCAGCCGGGACCTTATCCCTTCACAGTCCCTACATGATCATGTTCATGTTTCCTCTGGCTTTCAAACAGAAGGTTTTTTTTTTTTTTTTAATTTTCAGCTTTATTGAGCTGAACCTAATTGATATGTAACATTATATAAATTTAAGGTCTATAATGTGATAATTTTGTATATGTATATATTGGAAAATGATTACCACAATACAGTTAGTCAGCACAGCTATCACCTCACACAATTATCTTTTTTGTTTTGGCAAGAAAATTTAAGATCTACTCCTTTATCAATTTTCATATGGATAATACAGTGTTGTTAACTACAGTCATCATGTCGTACATCAGGTCTCCGGAGGTTATTCATCTTACAGCTGGAAGTTTGTACCCTTTGACCAACATCCATCCACTTTCCCCACCCCCCAGCCCCTGGCAACTACCATTCTACTCTCTGTTTCTTTTCAGTTTGGCCTTTTTTTGATTCCAACTCTAAGTGAGATCACACAGTATTTATCTTTTCCTGCCTAACTCATTTGACGTAACATAAAGCCTTCAAGGTCCATCACGTTGTTGGAAATGGCAGGATTTCCTTTTTCATAAATGAATAACATTCTGCTGTATCTATAGCATACTTTCTTTATCCATTCATCTGTCAATGTACACTTACGACCTTTCCACGTCTTGGCTATTGTGAATAATGCAGACGGCAATCTTACAAAGCTATGCCCTCCCTCCACTTTTACCCCATCTTCCTGTGGGGCTTGTGAGGTGACTAAACGTAAAATCAGCCTAGGAGATCAGGCCCCATTCCAGCCGGGCTTTCCTGGAAAATGTCTGCCAGTCATGAAAATGCCGATATCACTTAGTAAGCAACTCGTAGACCTGCTCCATGGCTCTGAGTGTGGAAGCAGCGAGGGAAAGGTCACCAAAACAGGCAGCTGTGCATGTGTATTAGCCACTCATCAAAATCAAATGACAAAACGATAAGCCAGGAAAACAGAACTTAAAAATATAAAAGGCAAATGCCTTCAAAATTTTATTTTTAAAGTCCAGCTGTTATTTGGCTTGAATATGACAAGACAGCATTTCTTGTTTACCATGATATTTATAAAACTACAAATTCATTGGTGCTGGGGACTTAGGAAACACGTTTAAGGTCTTGCTATGCTTGAAGCAGTTGAAGGCTTCCTATGTGTTGAACACATGCAGTTTGCTAGCTCTTAAATGGGACATGTAGGGAAGAGAGGACTCGATTAGTTGAGTCTGTCGCCATGTATTAGGAATGACAAACAGCTGTTTAAGTTTTTATGGACTTTTCACGTGGCATTGCTCCTCTCCTTGTTCTCCTCAGGCAGGAGTGCAATTCTTATCCCAACTCTCCTAATTTCAAGGTTGCAAAGCACAATAAGAGAACACTCTGGTCTGGTTGTTGGGAGATTTGGACTAAAGCTGTTTTGCTAAATGATGGCAAACAAGGGACTAATTCCTCTGGGTTTAAGGTTTTTTCTTTTAAAAGAAGTATTTTGAATTCTACTATGTCTGAGGTCCCTTCCAAATCTAAGACTGCTCCTAGGATCTTCATAAAACACAGAGTATTGTTTTTATAAGAAAGATGGTCTTTCCACGATAATTTCCATGTAGTTTTTTTTTTTCAGAGAAATAAAAGAGGAGATCAATACCTTCAAGAGTATATATGAACTACTTGCTGAATCAGATTTTCAAGCCCCTTGATCTTTTCTTTTTGTTGATGAGACGATCGCTTCAGTAGCATTTCTCAAATACCTTTCCCAGATAGGGCCCCCCTCCCCTTTCTCTTCTGCTCTACCCCCAGCAGCATTAATTGTGGCTTACCTTCTTTTTATAGCCTTTCCATCTTGTTTTTTTTTCCCCTCTCTCATACCTGGGGTCTCTAGAAGGATATTGTTTTGTTTTGTTTTGTTTTGTTTTGTTTTGTTTTGTTTAGCAGAACAGTTTGGGTAAGAAAATGTTCTCGTAACTCCTACTTTAATTCTCAAATTCAGTGATCATGTCCCAGCCTCAGGGGGAGGCTGCACCTCAT